GGCCACAGGGCAGCTGGGCAAAGCCCATCCATAGAGTGGGGAGCCTCCTGGAACTATGGAGGATGTAAATAAGTACTGGATGGGACAACAAGTCACAGGAGGACAGGGTGCGGTAGAAGGAGCAAAAGTAAAGAGAAGCTAGGGCTCGCGACAGTCTCATGTGGGAATTAAGAGGTGACAAGTGAAGAGGCCTGCTGAGTTGCAGATGCGGCCTGTCATGAATAATGAACATGGTGTGAGATAGAGTGGGCTGCCACATTTACATGGCGGCCTCAGCAGTTCCAGCGAGCTGGAAGAAAAGGGTGTCACAGGCAGGGGCGGACTGACCATTCGAGCACTCGGGCACTGTCATATTAACACCAATCTATGCCTTACTGACACCATCCACTGCTTTACTGACCCTGTTCTCTGCAATCTTGACACCGTCCACTGCTCTACTGACACCGTCCACTGCCCTACTGACATTGCCCACTGCCCTACTGACATTGCCCATTGCCCTACTGACATTGCCCACTGCCCTACTGACATTGCCCATTGCCCTACTGACATTGCCCATTGCCCTATTCACCCCACCCATATTTTAATACATTTTAAAATGTTTGTTTACATTTATTTATAAAAGAAAAGAGACAGGAGGCCCCCGTCTGAGTGTAGTAATAACACTGTATTTAATAGCAAAGGATTAAAACACTCACAAAGGAAGTAATAATACAAGCTCATCTGTGTATATGAGAGATGACTGTTCCTCAAAACGTCCTGCAGGCGCCACAATGGTTGGTGCAATAGCAGCTGGGCTGATGGAGATGGTGAAAGACACTGTAGTGGTCAATCCTACAGAGTGGTGGTGTTGTAGAGCCGATCCAGCGGCGTTTGTGCAGGAAGGAGCCTAGTAACCAGTATGGAACACACCGGCAGGATGTGACATCACAGGAAGAGGCAGAGGGTCAGTGGGGAGGATGCGCACAGATGTGGGAAAGTCAGGCTACGCGCTCGGAGCCTCTAGCTCTTTCTATTGGCCAATAGATATATATACAATATATATTAGGGATGCACCTGTAGCACCCTCTAGGTAGATAGGATTGTTGTGGTTAGTCAGAGGCTTGTTAGACGCCTGGGATGAGTCAGCCTGGGATGAGTCAGCCTGGGAGTGAGACAGTGAGGTTACCTCAGTCAGGCTGGGAAGCTCTACGGGTCAGGGCTTCTGGAGCCCTCCCACCCTGCTAGAAAATGCTGGAACTGGAGGGGAGGAGGCCTGGATTTGCATGTTTAGGGGAACTTGGCCAATCTCCAAGCAGGAGGCCTGGCATGGTGACTAGAACAGCCCCTAAAAGTGAGAGAGCCTGAACAGCAGAGTAGTTGTGGAGTCAGGTGGAAGATGGACTGAAGAAAGGTGCTGGAGCATGGAGCCTGGGAAGTGGCCGTAGGGGGGGATACCTACAGGCTGGAGCAGACAGGAGGATCTCCACTGCACTACAGTCTCCTAGGGAGGAAAGCCTGTCAACAAGGAAGGAGCCAGCCCAGTATAAGGCCTGAAAGCAGCTGCAACTCACTAAGCTACAGGAAAAGGGCAGTGTGAGTATTTCTACATCCCCTGGGCCACATAACAGAGAGTGCGGTCAGTTGCAATACCCAACCAGTTCTCATCTGGGACTGCTTCACAGAAGATTCTGGAGTCCCTTTTCCAGGGATACCCTCAGGACAGCTGGGTAAATGAAGAAAAGATTTGTCTGGGGTCTGAGGAGGTACACCAAAGGAGACTCAGGGCTCCTTACTAAGACTGTTGCTGATTCTGGTCCACGTGTTTATACATTTTTTGTTGCTAAGAAGTTGTCCTCAAGTTTTACGGTTCAATTGGGCATCCCATATACCCCTAGACCCCATCCAAGTTGTTAACACCTAATAAAAACAAACAAAAAACAAGCTCAAGGACTGTTTTACTGACTGTGAGAGAAAGTGTGGAAAATGTATGTTGCCTGGCTGCGCTGAGCCTAGGTGGACCTAGCAAAATCCAGCGGCCCTCAAGGGGTAGCGCTACACACCAATACTAATACCTGCGTAAGTATCGGTGCAGATACCAAGCATTTTGACGAATACTCATACTCGTGAAAATGCTCCAGATACTCATACGGTGCATCACAATTTGCATCAATACAAAATGTATAGAAGCAAATTGCACCGAAAAGTATCGATACTCGTATCAGCGAGTATGACGGAAAGTATCGGTACTTTCACCAATCAAAAAATGGTGTTGGTACATCCCTAAAATATACACACACGCATGTGTGTTTTTGAGCTTTGGGGAGCACACCCTAATGCAATAGGCTTTGCACACCTATGGTGGCTCCCAAAGTAACCAAGTACCACAACTGCCAAGTGCATAGCTGTGCGCACAGGTTGAGTGTGCCTGGGAACAGGGGCGGACTGACCATTTGGGAACTCCGGCACTGCCCAAGGGCCCGGGATCAGTAGGGGGCCCCATGAGATGCCCCTGGGTACCTTTCATAGGCTTTTTTGGGTGTGGTTTGAGTGTGGGTGAGGACACAGGGGCCTCATGATCCCCTATTGCCCGGAGGCCCCATGAGTTGTCAGTCCGCCCCCTGCCTGGGAACACCTCATTTCCAGGGTTGCCAACCGTCCAGAGGGCTGTCTGCAGTTGTCTAAGCTGAGTGTCCGCCCCCTGCCTGTCTACTTCTCTCTTGTCTAGTGCTGTGGTACTCTCTCTTATACTGCCTAGAACCCTTTCCTGAACAGGAGAAGAGAGATGGTTTGATCTGCTCCTCCTCCTCCCATACTTACCTCTCTGTGTCTGCCAGTCCACACTCTTATCCCTTTATATCAGAGCTCCCCTTTACGCAAGAATCCACAGTATTCCCTGTTAAAAAAAAAAATTGCTGTGCACTGATAAATTGTTTGTGTTTGACTTGGAAAAAGGAAAGTGGAAACCCTACCAGGCTCTTTCACAATCTTAGCAATGATACTGCAGTGAGAAACAAAATGACAACACCTTTTTTACAATTTGTAAATGTTTAGTTCTGTCCCCTCCAGGGGAGGACTGACAACTCATGGGGCCCCCGGGCAATAGGGGATCATAGGGCCCCTGTGTCCTTGCCCAAACTAAAAAAAAAACCTAAGAAAAAGGTACCAGGGGCATCTCATGGGGCCCCCTATTGACCCCGGGCCCTCGGGCAGCACCCGAGTTTCCAAATGGTCAGTCCGCCCCTGGTCCCCTCTAACCCTGCTGCCCTAAGCACAGGCCCAAAATGATCAATATGGTAAATACAGCCATGCCTACACTTATCCAATAAGAATAGTATAATACTATGAGTCCTCTCTGACGATTGTTACTTCTTTGTTACTTCTCTTTTTCTCATGTTGGAAATGTTTGAAAATTCATAAGGCGGCTGTATATTTACAAACTGTATATGTAATTCTGGTTTTTGGGCAATAAAATAAAAAAAAAATAATAATAATCCACAGTATCTAAATGTAGCCACATCTTCCCAGAAAAGAACTAAATCAAATTTACTTCAATAAACAACAATATTCTAACAGGTTATTTCTTATGCAACTACCAAACCATCACATTTTGCTTGACATATCTGTTTATGAAACTATTCATATAACAAAATCTGTTATTATTTTTGATGCAAAATCTTCAGATCCATCCATATCAGACAGAAGAGCTATTCCATGGTTAAGAAATGTATTGAAATGAGCATATTTAGATGTCACACCAAGTTAGTATCAGTGAGAAATAAGTGCAGGGATGAAAGAACAAGCAACAATTTCTTTACTTGGTGGCTGTAAGAATCAGATGGAATCGTTTTTACCTTAAAGTGGTTGTAAACCCAAAAAAATCTAAATTGAACTGACCAGTCTACCTCACACAGCATAGCAGCAGAAGTCATCTGTCCCTAGGCTGGCCAAAAAAAGACCAGCTAGTCATCTGAAATCCTCTCTACTTTCTAATTGGTACACATTTGCAAGTAGCTAGAGTTGGGAGAGAAACTAAGTTTGTCAGGGACAGTGAATTAACTTTAGGGAAAGGTTCCTGTGTGAGGAGGAAAAGATTAAGGACACTGCTGTATGCTCTGCTATTCTCTGGGCTCCGAACACAAGAGCTGTTCAGCTTCCTCAAGATCCGCTTCTGCAGCCACTCTTCTAGTCAGCCACCCATCCTGCAGATGGCGCCCTGGTAATGTAGACTATGTCTGTGTGATAGTGTGTGGTCCTGAAGAATTACCATGTACCACCAGCATTACTGTGACTTCATACCTACAGCTCAACCGTATAATACCTGCTCAGCCTTTTTCTTGATTCTGTGTGTCATTCCTCCTGGCCCTGCTCACAATCATAACAGGGAACTTTCTGAAGTCAGTGTGCCTGGGATTGTGGGGGGGGGGGGGTGAGGGGTGGGACAAGAGGAGGCTCTAATAGCAGTGCCAGAAGTGTATCTTGCCAAAATAAAAGCAATGGTTTAAAAGCAGAGCACACAGTGATTTGACAATATTGAGGCAAGGTAAAGGCATTCCTGAGCATATCTGGTCTACAAACCAGTAATTGTCAGTTGTCATGGACAGTAAATGGGCAATTGTGACAATACAGGAGCATCTCAATAAATTAGAATATCATCAAAAAGTTAATTGATTTCAGCAATTCAATTCAAAAAGTGAAACTCATATATTATATAGATATTTTGAAAAAGTTCAAATGTTGTAGACCCATGGGGGTTTATTTACTAAAGCTGGAGAGTGCAAAATCAGACTCACTTCTGCATAGAAACCAATCAGCTTCCAGGTTTCATTGCCAAAGCTTCATTGAACAAGCTGAGGTTAGAAGCTGATTGGTTTCTCTGGAGAAGGGAGTCTGATTTTGGACTCTCCAGCTTTAGTAAATAAACCCCATGGTGTCAAACTCAGGGGCGGACTGACCATTTGGAAACTCGGGCACTGCCCGAGAGCCCGGGGTCAGTAGGGGGCCCCATGAGATGCCCCTGGTACCTTTTTCATAGGCTTTTTTGAGTTTGGGCAAGGACACAGGGGCCCCATGATCCTCTATTGCCCGGGGGCCCCATGAGTTGTCAGTCCGCCCCTGGTCACACTCTAATCTTCTAACAAGGGGTAAGTCACAAAAGGTCATTGCTAAAGAAGCTGGCTGTTGACAGAGTGCTGTATCCAAGCATAATAATGGAAAGTTGAGTGGAAGGAAAAAAAAGTGTGGTAGAAAAAGGTGCACAAGCAACAGGGATAACTGCAGCCTTGAGAGGATTGTGAAGCAAAGGCCAAGGATCCTCAGAAGTACTAAACCTCGGCTAGTCTAATGCAACATCCTAAGTATGTCACTGGGAGTAAAATGACTGTGAAAACCCCAACCGATACCGGGGCTTTTGGAGGGGACTGCAGGCTAGCCTCTTGCCTACTGATCATGGGCCCTGACATCTGAGAGGGCTCTATTCTTTGGGAGGTGTGTGCCTGGGGGGGACCTTTGGAGTAGTTTTACTTCAGATTCAAGTCCATATCTCCCAGAGACAGACAGATTTAGAGAACTGGAGGACCAGGTTACAGATTTGGGGGCTCTGTGCCCACACCAGCAGTGACTGCTTAAACCCCTCCTCCTAGACTCAGAGCAGATGTTAATATAATCAGCTCAAAACAACCTGATGCTTAGGTCTCTTGCTGTAATCTGTTAATTAAGGTGTTACTAAACCCACAACAGTAAAATCAGTCTGTATATGCAGTAAAGCATGCTTGTTATACTCACTAGAACCTAAGGGGTTAATCATCTGCATTGTGTAAAAAGGCTGTTTGATCCTTTCTCCTCAGTCCTTCCTCTTGTTGAAATGACCACCTGATACAGACTGAATCTGTAGTCACATACACATGCTCAGTTTGGTGTGTATTGCTAGAGAGGTTTTTTTTTTTGGGGGGGGGGAAGTGCATGTGATCAGCACAGGGCCAATCAGCACTGTCCAGATAGAGGGTGAAGGGTTTCACATCCTCCTAGAGCAGAAAGAAAACTCCTCCTACAAGCTTTAACCAGTGTTCTGCTGAAGTCGCAAGACTGCTCTAACAGCTGATGAGAAAAGGTTTTTAGCAGTTTATATGTACTAAAATAATTGCATTTCCATGTTGTGTGTACTGTGGGAGACCAGATATAGTGAATGCAGGGTCCTGGGTTTAGTATCACTTTAAGGTTTACTGTTGTGTCTTTGCCCTATTGTTAATTGTGTTAACTGAGTCACCTATTGTTTCTGTCTGCTGGCTAGTCCCCCTAGAGGTTCCTATATTATGGGATTCGTCTTGTGCCAACTTTACCTAGTTACCTAATCAGTGTGATGTTTATCCCAGTTTGTAATATTCGTTTTTATTGTTCATGTAGGCTCTGCCCCTATTTTTGAAGTGTATAAAAAACCTGTACTTCTGTTCAATAAAGGGGGTTCCAGTTGCACCTAATCTAGTGTCTTATAGTTCTTGGGTGCATTGCCCAGCTATAATACCTTGGTCCTGTGTCTCAGCGGCAATGAAGCAGTTCTCTGACGGAGGCACTCAAGCAGGGTGCCAGGTGGTCCAACACAGCAACATCAAAGCTAGGCTGAAAAGCAGGACACAAGCTTCACAGTATCCCCTTAAAAATGGTGCATCATGAAAGGAAAATTGTGTACAGTTAGTCAAGTGTAACACTGTTGTGAAGTGTGGATGAGACACGAAGATGCAATTGTGCCAAGATATCTGCTTACTTCTAAGTTCAAGTGGTAGGAGTGCCACCTAAATGTAGATTTCTTATGACTATGGTCTCTGCCTGCATAGTTGGGCATTGGGGAGCAAAGTTTCCAAAGTTGCCCTTTAGGGATTCTTAAGCCCCACCCACAACTCCCCTGTGTATGAACTGGTATGCCTCTGACCCATCTGTAGCACTACCCCTACAAAGGCCACTGATTTTACCTGGTTCTTTCACAAACAGTACAGAGGCTGCCAGTCACCCAAGCAACAGTCTATTAATTCCAGCTCCAATAAGCTGTTTATTTTTTTTTATTTATTTATTGCTTGTAGAAAAGGAGAGGAAATGGGGTATGTGATATTCCAAAATGCTCAGTAACATTAAGCAGAGATAAATAAAGAAAACAATGCATGTTGGGACTTTATAGGTGCTCCATCATCCTCATGAAGATACACTTACACCAAAGATTTCATAAAAATCAATATATTTTATTCCAAAATGTTCAAATATCAGAGATTATCCCCATAAAATAAATTTACAAACAGATGACAAGTAATCAATATAGTGAACCCCCATACACCTTCCTACACCCAAGCTGGTGTGTGGTATCATACAGCGAATGTAACACAATGTTGAGAAACTCAACTAGGAAAATGTCATATCACAGTGTGTTTTGCCAGGCAGGCTTTTTTTCAGGGGTTCAAGAAAGGGAACACTATGCTGACAATCATCCTAAAAGTGGGCTGTGTCTTTGAAGTGAATGGGAGCTATTTTGAAGGAATTGTGGAGTGATATCCGAATGACTGCAGAAATACCTCTATACAGTGAGGAACAGAAGTATTTGAACACCCTGCGATTTTGCAAGTTCTCCCACTTAGAAATCATGGTGGGGTCTGAAATTTACATTGTAGGTGCATTCCCTCTCTGAGAGACAGAATTTAAAAAAAAAAATCAGAAAATCACATTGTATGATTTTTAAAGAATTTATTTGTCTTGCACTGCTGAACATAAGTATTTGAACACCTGAGAATATCAGTGTTAATATTTGGTACAGAAGCCTTTGTTTGCAATTACAAAGGTCAAACGTTTCCTGTAGTTCTCACACTGCAACAGGGATTTTGGCCTCACAATAAATGGCCCCATTCCTCCTCTCCTTAATACAGTGCAGTCGTCCTGTCCCCTTCGCAGAAAAGCACCCCCAAAGCATGATGTTACCACCCCCATGCTTCACATTAGGGACGGTGTTCTTGGGATGCAACTCATCCTTCTTTTTCCTCCAAACACGACGAGTGAAGTTTAGACCAAAACGTTCTACTTTGGTCTCATCTGACCACATGACTTTCTCCCATGCCTCCTCTGGATCATCCAGATGGTCATTGGCAAACTTCAGACGGGCCTGGACATGTGATGACTTGAGCAGGGGAACCTTCCATGCAATGCATGATTTGAAACCATGACAGCGTAGTGTTCTACTGACAGTGACCTTTGAAACTGTGGTCCCAGCTCTCTCTCATTGACCAGCTCCTCCCTTGTAGTTCTGGACTGATTCTTTACCTTTCTTATCATCAGTGATACCTCACGAGGTGAGATCTTGCATGGAGCCCCAGTCCGAGGCAGACTGACAGTCGTCTTTAGCCTATTCCATTTTCTAACAATTGCTCCAACAGTTGATCTATTTTCACCAAGCTGCTTGGCAATTGCCCCATAGCCCTTTCCAGCCTTGTGGAGGTCAACAATTTTGTCTCTGGTGTCTTTTGACAGCTCTTTGGTCTTGCCCATGGTAGTAGTTGGCGTCTGACTGACTGTGGGGTGGACAGGTGTCTTTAAAGAGCTCAGAGAGGTGCTACTAAGTTAGATTAATGAGTGGAGTAGAGGTGGACTTTTTAAAGGCACAGTAACAGGTCTTTGAGAGCCAGAATTCTTGCTGTTTCTTAGGTGTTCAAATACTTACTGTATGTTCAGCAGTGCAAGACAAATAAATTCTTTAAAAATCATACAATGTGATTTCCTGATTTTTTTTTTAAAATTCTGTCTCTCAGAGAGGGAATGCACCTACAATGTGAATTTCAGACCCCTCCATGATTTCTAAGTGGGATAAACTTGCAAAATCGCAGGGTGTTCAAATACTTCTGTTCCTCACTGTATATCACCGGGAATTAAACACTGTTACAAAATTTATGAGGGTATTTAACCAGTTCCCACTCGGCCTATAGGAGAATAACGGGCGAGAGGGACTCTCGTCGATTCGGGTAGGCATCATATGACGTCGTCCTGGATCGTCACCTCACATGTGCCCATGGGGCCACACTGCAGCGAGATCTGTCAACGGTACCATTGTTGCCGGTACCATGTGACCAATCACAGCAGATCACATGACAATTGTAAACAATGGATGGCTTCCTCTCATGCCATCCATTAAATACAATTGGGTTGTTAGCTGTGATTGGTCACAGTGATTATATGTACAGACTGGGCCAATCACAGCCCAACTTATCATGTGATTAGCTGTGGCCACTCACAGCTAATCACAACAAAAAACACTGAATGAACCTATTTCATTCACTTAAATGCTTGCAGCAATCATAAATCATAAAAAAATAATAAAATACTGATTGCTTCCCCTTACTATGGTAACATTATATTACTCTGGTCACAGTGTTTTGTTTTTTTACTAGTCCATGTCTCTGATCACCGCCACACCAGTTATATAATGATGCTGTACTGCATGGTAACAGTATGTGAAAAAAAAATAGTGCATTTCTTTTTTTTTAATTTCTTAATTTTCCCCCAAAAAATTACAACTTCAAAAAACTCGCCATGTCTCTTACTAAATACTGCAGACTGTCTATTTTCTAAAAAAAAAGAGGTGATTTGGGGGATATCTGTACTGTCCTGACATTTTTGGGCCTCAAGAAATGAAAACAGTGTCGTCAGCACATCAGGATTGATCGATTTTCAGATATATATCATAGTTTGTGGACTCTATAACTTTCCTACAGACTAAACAATATACACTAACTTGGGTTATTTTCACCAAAGAAGTGTAGCAGAATATTTTTTGGCCTAAATTTATGAAGAACAATTATTTATTTGCAAACTTTTATAACAGAAACTAAGAAAAACTTGTTTTATTTTCAAATTTTTAAGTATTGTTTTATTTATTAAATTTAAATATTTTTTTTAAAAAAAACCCAGTGGTAATTAAATACCACCAAAAGAAACCTCTATTCTTGTGAAAAAAACTATACAAATTTAGTTTGGGTACAGTGTTGCATGACTGCGCAATTGTCATTCAAACTGTGAGAAATTGGCCTGCCAGGAAGGGGGCAAACGTGCCCTGTATTGAAGTGGTTAAT